ACACACACACACACACACACACACACACGTCTGGTAGCCTCTGGGCTCCGTTCCCAGCTCAGCTATGTAATGCTAACGCTAAAGCAAAGTAGCATTTTACAGTTTAACAGCGACTGCAACACTTTTTTTTCTCTCTTTTGGAAAAACTAACTCAGGTTCTTTAAATACAGTAAAACACATAAAACTGTTAAAAGTTTTAAATTAACTACAGATTTATTTATGGAGAACACACACACACACAGCTGCCAAACTGAAGCAAAACTGCAGAGCGCTGCAGGAAGCTGTGATGCTGCAAACATGAACAGACTCACAGCTTCACCTGTCAGCTGACGACTCAAACACGACAAAAATATAAATAATAATTAACATTTATCATCAAATATTACAGCTAAAAACGTGCATGTGTTAAACTGAGGGAACATTTTGTGTTTAAACATTAATAATTTGAGTTAAATGATGAGAAAGAGCTGGACTTGTGAAGCATCAGAAGCTGCTTCTCTTTGGTTTACCACTTCTCCCAGCTCTCTTCTCTAATTTCACTCATTTTTTTCAGCTCCTTGCTTTAAAAAAAAACCCAGTTAGGTTAGAGATTGGGCGGCGGTGATGAACTGATTGGATAATTTCAACCATACGGGAGCATTCAGACATCATTAAKGTAACAAGGTTTGTCAAAGGTTACGCTGCCTGATGTGAGCAGAACACAAACATGTCTTTGTTTGTGTTTTCTGTGGGAAGTCGTGACTCAGGTTGATTTATTCAAAAAACAAGACATTCTGAGCCGTCACCAATTCTTTCATTTCTTAACTAATGCAGCAGAGCGTTAATGACTCCTTTRCTTTTTTACTTTTTTCTCTTCTAATTATGAGAAAAAACACTTTAAAGCAGGGCTATTCAACTGGTGGCCCGTGGGCCACATTCGGCCCGCCAATAGCCTAAATGCCACGGTCATTAATGACGCATTTCTGGTAAAATTCTTGCCACGCTCCTCCCTTCCACTTCCTGTTTACTACCTTTGTTTTTAGCGTTAGCTGCTTGTACTAGTCCATGAAAAAGTCTTAAAAGTTAAAGCATCTGTGATCTACTGGTATAAAACATGAGTTCTGTTGTGTGRCGTTGTGTCCACTAACCAGCAGGTACAATAGAGTAGTTAGTGTTTATCCTTTTTCCTCTTGATGAGGAGGTGACAGCAGAGGATCATAGCATTACAGGGAAAACTTATCTTTAAAAGCTCACGCTTGTGTTTGTAATCAGCATTTCTAACCTGAGGATATTCAAGAGTCAGCATCAGAAATGAGAAGATGGAGGTTACAAATGGGAAATGTACATTTATCCCCTTTTACTGCCAAGACGAGAGAGGAAAGACCACCRCCACCTCACAGCTAGCAGGAAGCTAACACAGCAGCCGGTACAAAGGTAGGTGTGTGTGTTTGTGTTATACAGAGTATGAAATTATTTTAGGCAACTTTTCATGAGTTTRATGCAAAAGTAAAAACTTGTTAGAGTGTATATTACAGCGTAGACAAAACACGAGCATCTGGAGTGATTTAGTTGAATAGCCCTGCTTTAAAATGTGAGCTAATATAGAAAACACACACAGTTCTTGTTTTATGCTTGTAGACAAAAGTTAAAACAAGAAAACTCATGAATCAGTCTGTAGCCTGTTAAAAAAAGGGTGATAAAATGTTCAGACTTCATGAAAACCTGTCCAGTAAAATATAAACAGTTTTAATTCTGTTAGTGGATCATTGCAGCGTTCAGAGGCTGTTCCAGGAGGTTGCTCTTTGAAACGCTCCGTCCTTTTGACTCTCACAGGAAGTGAACAGAGAGTTCTTCAGGTGATAAATCAGATGTGAGTGTTTCCTGACATGCAGAACATGGATTCAGTGAAGATGGAGCACCGTCCTGTCACTTTCACTCCTCTGCCTGCGTCTAGACGCTTATCAGCAAGGTTACGCAACATCTGATGCACGGTGTTCCACAGCTCTTCAGGTTCTGCAGYATCMGCTAATCTCTCATTCATAAATCAGTTCAAATGACTAAAACACGAGGAGCAGGACTAAACACAGCTTTAGAGCTTTAGTTTTAAAATCCTGTCAAACCAAAAGGATGTTACGTTTGTGTTAAATAGAAAGCAGAGTCGTTAACAGAGGGTCAGATCCAGGTTCAGAGCAGCAGCTGGGGACTTACGTAGATGTGTCTCTGCTGGTAGCGCTGGAACAGGTTGTGCATTATGGCTCCATCGTGGAGGTCCTGCAGCGTGGCCATGTCCTCCACCCCSCTGAGGCTGCTGTGGTGCATGGGCTGCACCTTCTGCCTGGTGAGGGCATTCTGCTTGTAGGTGTACACCTGCAGCAGCACACGTCAGAAACACGAAAACATTTAGATTCATGTCTGACACTTTCATCTTAAACCTACAGTAAAAAGAAACAATGAAAAACRTGTCAACGTTACACATATTTATACGTATTGTTACACAGATGATGATGTCATTWACAACCACACAGGGATGATAAAAGGTTTGTCTAAACAGACTCTGTTTCTATTTAATGCTATATATTCAGTCTGTTGTTCTGTTGTTAGTGTGAGGCAAAGAACATCCTGACAGATTTTATCTAAACTTATCAGACCTGGTTGGACAGAGTCAGATCACTCTCAGTGCAGGAATGTGATAAAACTTAGAGGTCAAAATTACCACCAGCAGGAAACAGCTCAGGAAATCAGAAACAGGTGAGACAGAAATGCAACAAAAAATGAGCTGGAGTACGGAGAATTAAGATCCTAACTCGTTTTATTTTACATAAAAACWCTTAAGAGGCCTAAACTAAAGGCACTCTGACAGGAAATATCATAAATATCAGCTTTTTCTATTTATTTATTGCGCAAAAGAAAATGGAATCCATAAAAATTTAGAGAATAAGACCCAGAGATCATTTTGTAATGAACAAAAAATTTATATTTTGTAGATTAAATGCAAACATCTCAATGTTTTTTTTTGTTTTTAATGTAAAATTAGCACAAAAAGATTCAAGATTTAAGACTTTAATTGTCATATCAGCTCACATTTGTATGTTTATGGTACAAAATTCAGACTCAGGTCCCAGTTTAAGAAGCCTAATAAGTAATAAAGAGAATATATAAATTAGGGTTGGGCAATATTGACAAAAAAATTAATCACTATTAATTGTAGTATTTAGCCGATAAGGATTAATATAATTAATCACCTGGAGTCCCTGGATGCTCTCATACTCTAGTCATATGACCAGTTTAAATCACTGTAGTGGGAAAGATTTGCTTCTCCGTAAAAACCTGTTCCAAATTGTGTAAAAAGTACCGACTTCAGGTGATACATCAGTTTTTAAATTGTGGTAATAGACCAAGTAAAACCAGAGTTATGATAAATAAAATACTGAGCTTTTTTTAAATGTTTGTCATATTTGAAGCGGAGAGGAGCACCGAGCGGACTCTACCTGGTGACATTAATCGTATTAATCATCAAGTGACAAAAAATAATAGATTAAAGTTTTTCCGATGATTAATTGCACATGATACGATTTTGCCCAACCCTAATATAAATATATAAAAAGTTTAAAAGAAAAGGCTAAAAAAGTGAGATTGAAGCTGTGGCTCGAGTCCAGCAGTCTGGTGAGCTCTGACATGTGATTGGTTGATTACTTCTATGTAAGAATGATTCTCAGCAATAAATCTTATAGCTGCACCTGATTGACTGAACCTGTGGCGACCAAAAGCTCAAAACAAGAATCAACAACAAAATCTGCTGTTTGACAGAGAAGTTTTGTCAATTTTTTCATGTGTGCAACCCACACACTCAGCTCTACTGCTCATCCCACAGATGCATGATCCTTACAAATGTGGCTCCATTTAAGAGAGAAATTAACAAACTTTCCAACGATATAAGATTGATTGCCAAGAAGCATTGTTACAACACATAAAGAATCAACCAAACACACATTTCCTTTCTTTTTGTCTAAGTTTGGATAAACATCGTTTGTCCCTCAGCTAAAGGGAAAAATCTGTTTCGTTTCAACCTTTTTMCAGAGTTATTTCTCTCCTGTTCACAGCACATGTTTCCTGTCTGCTTCCACACAGTTTTATACAAAAAAAAAACTAAACTTTTGGGGCATTATTGTCTCGATTTATAAAGTTGATAAATACATGTTCTACATTTCCTCTGTTTCTAACTGAAAACTCATGTTTTACATCATTTATCATGAATCAAAGGCTGTTCGCTCCGACAGTCTGAACTCTGTTTCTGAAACAAACCAGTTTCTGTCCGAGGAGTCATTCACATCTGAA